GATAGAATCAATGTAAGAATATCTTGGATCTTCAAAGGATGATAGGAAGAAGTAATATAATGAACAACCACCCCAAAATTCGTCCAATGACTTGGGTATTTATAGGAGAGGAGAATTTGGTTGAATGGGCCGTGTAAAACTCTCCAAAATCGCGAACTAGGGTTAGCCGCATAATACTGTAGCTCGAGCGAGGGGGACATGTCGCTCAAGCGAAGGGTATGTCGCTCGAGCGACGCCTGGACGAGAAGCGAGCGACAATGGTTTTGTTTCTGTCGCTCGAGCGATGGCCAGGCATGAAGCTAGCGAAATTCCAGCACTGCCTTTTCCTTGTTTCCAAACTCGTACTCGAACCCTAAGCTACCTAACTGAACTATACAAAATTGTACTTCACTCCTTGACTATTACACATGTTCAATTAAGTCCTATTTGTTCACAGAATCGTAAATACAATATATAAATATTACCGTTANAATTAGTCACTGAACTTTGCAAAAAATTCCTAGGAGGTCACTAAACTTCAAAACTACACTAAATAGTCACTGAACTTTGCTAAAACTTCCTAAGAGGTCATCGAACTTTGCAAATTGTGACCCCATACATCCATGATTTAGTGACCCCCTAGGAATTTTTTACAAAGTTGAGTGACTAATTAGGGTAGTTTTGGAAAAGTTCAGTGACTATTTAGGTAGTTTCGAAGTTCAGTGACCTCTTAGGAACTTTTTGCGATGTTCAGTGACTAATAGGGAAGTTTTGAAGTTCAGTGACCTCCTGGGAACTTTTAGCAAAGTTTAGTGACTATTTGGAGTATTAACCCTCCCTTTAAACCCAAAGTTTATCTCTTTTGTAATAAGAGAAACTTGAGTAGGAAATACTTCAAAGAAATTAATATTCTCTCAGTATTTTTGTGTCTCTCTACTCTCTATTTTTCTCTCTAACGTGCTTATAGCTCAAAGAATGAAACTCTCTGTAATTGAGATGCATTCTCGATGCAGAAATCCTCCTCTATTTATAGCCAATCATTCCATATATCATTTAGCCACTTTTGATAGTTTTTTTTTTTGAAAGAATGAGATTTTGAATAGTAAATTTTGGAAATGTGTACTTAAAAAGTAAAGAAAAGTTTTGAATTTATGTGAAGAATATTTTATTGTGAGAATGAATGATTGAATAAAAGTATAAGAAAAAAGAATGAGAAAGAATGGTCGTCAAACAAGGGCTTAATGTTTAGCAACATCATTACAACTGCTAGAGTAATAACACCATCAGTTACTGCTTCATGTGGCGTGCATTCTTTCATTTAATGATTTTACATAAATTGCAACATGAATTCTCAAAAATTCATTTTGCCCTTGCAAAATTACTTCCTTCCTTCACATGTGACTAGTGCCCCATGAGAAACATTTCACTCATGGAAACAATACATAGACCGCCAAAACAAGGCCAACCAATTCCCATGAGAATTGGTATGCAAAAGGGACTTTACCACTTTTACAATAGTAATACTTTGTATTTGTTTTTACTGATTTTGGAAAATAACCTTCTTGTAATGAAAAAAAATTGAAACAACGAGGTTATTTTACAAAAGTTAGCAAGCCAAATTTCCGAGCGTAGTCATTTTTAAAGATTTTGTCATTTGGTTTTGTTACATAAACAATGTAACCCTCGAAAAACTCCTTATTAGTTACTCATATAAGAGTTTACCTTTTCCTATTTTGTAGTTATCGATGATCATGAATGAGGTATTGAGGTTGTACCCGCCAGTGGTCGAGCTTTCTAGACTTGTAGAAGAAGAGACACAATTAGGAGAATACATCATACCAGCTGATACACAACTCATGGTACCAATAGTTATGATTCATCGTGATCCCCGATACTGGGGTGAAGATGCAAACGAGTTTAATCCCAACAGATTTGCAGAAGGAGTGCCGAAATCTACCAAAGGACATCTGATATATTACCCCTTTGGTTGGGGACCCCGTAGTTGCATTGGCCAGAACTATGCACTCTTGGAGGCTAAATTAGTATTGGTAGACATTTTGCGCAATTTCTCGTTTGAGATTTCTCCTACTTACAGACATGCTCCAGTTGTGATGTTCACTCTTGAGCCTCAATATGGAGCCCCCCTAATACTACGCAACCTCGAGTGAAGTTTACTAGAGGTTTGTTCGTGTGGGTAATTGTAGCCAATGTTTTAGTTATCTTTTTGGCTATATATGTGTTGTATCCATAGATTAGTTTTTATGCCTTTTCACTTGCCATTTCTATATAATTTCAATAACTGTTGTTTGTTTATTTTAAGCTACTATATTAGTTCCTTGTGTAATGCTAAAACTCCTCATCACCGATGTCTGTTACACTTCGAATAGTAAGTGGTTCAAATATTTCAGCGTAATTAATGTCTATCGATAAGAAGGCTGCAAAAAGATACAGCCGACGGTGCTGAACTTCCAAGTTTCATAGCTTCCATAAACCCAATCTTTTTTCCAACTAAGTTTGTCGTTAACAATGAAGTTTGCACATTTTGCTCTATCGATCTAGTTCTGATGGGCAACAGGAAAATAGAATAAAAAATTGACAAATTGTACATTATTGCAGTGAGATTCTATTCGTGAGATTGAGCTCGATGTGTACTAGGATAGGTGACTATGTTTGCAGTCATGGCTGTTTCTGGATTTTAGTTTCTGGATTGTTTTCTATGTTTTCAATATTTATAGGTGGTATTAATGTCTTTTACATTTTGTTTTGGCTGTTGCAAGTGTTCAATTGTTTTTGATACTGCTTAATTGTTATTGAACTGATTAATTGTTTAACTATGCACCCTACTGATGTTTACATCATGGCTAAGACTAAATTTTACATTGTAAGAGTAAAATCTAAGCAAGTGATCTGTTAGGAATTCGAAGAGGTGATATAGCGCGATATGAAGTATAGATCGCACAAACTAATAAACAAAATAAGATTTAAAAGAAAGCAAACAAGAAATTGGCAGAGGAGCCGAATATTTTATTAATGACAACCAATGGAAAAAAAATCCAACTTCCAGCAACTTCTGCAATATGTTAAAATTGAATGAAGAATCTACTATTTATAGGGTCAAGAAATATCAAAAAGATGAAAACAAGATAAAAAAAAATCACCTGAAATAAATGAAATAATATTTTTCCAATATTTTTTCAATAAAACACGTGAAACAAAAGGAAATAATATTTTTTTAATAAAACACGTTAAATAAATGAAATAATTTGGGTCACAAAATCCAATAATTCAACCTTGACACAAATTCCAATGCAATGAATGAAGTTTCAAAATTTTTCCACCTGAAAGAATAAGTTCGACTACAACGACAAACTGAACTCTTCATCCCAAACTAAACTTCTCCAACACACGAAAAAATACTCTTCCTCTTCCACCATATCCAACACGGATAAATGAACCCAACGTCCCGGCTCCCAAAATTCACAAAGAATTTAAAATCTACCAAATAGGGTCGAAGCACACCATGTAACAAGAATCAACACTAAATGCTTTAACTGAAGGCCCCCAGCTAGACTCGTCACCTTCAACAAATCCAAAGCATGCACTTCCAGATCAGCATCCCCGTACCTATCTCCAATGGGTCTCTCCTTAGCTGTTGAATATAATGGAACCACAAATTGTAGTGGCAAAGTGGAATTACCCATATCCCCCAAACTTGACAGAGTAGTATTATCCAAAATAGATCTAGAGCCAACTCCCAACGGTACTGTACCAAACTGTATATCCACCAGGTACCAAACCTGTGTTGATGTCTTTTCACTGATTCTGTCGAACCTTGCAAGATGTATAACTGGGACTTTCTCCACACCTCCAATACAACACGGACACCCTTCCGAACTTTCAAGACTCTACCCACTCCAGAGAATGTGTACCCTCTCGAATCCAGGGTACTCAGCTAGATAATGTTCTTCTTCAACTCTGGAACATGTCAAACCTGGCCAAGTATTCTGATTGTTCCATCCATCAATTTCAATTTGACTCTCCTAATACCAGCTACCCGACAAGTTTCGTTAAAGTATAGTCCTCGTAGGAACGATAATCCGGACGCAAATGTCCACTTTACTACTTGTTACGAGATCGTACACTTGCGATATAAAAAACGCAACATGAAGTATAGATCGCACAAACTAATAAACAAAATAAGATTTAAAAGAAAGCAAACAAGAAATTGGCAGAGGAGCCGAATATTTTATTAATGACAACCAATGGAGAGAAAATCCATCTTCCAGCAACTTCTGCAATATGTTAAAATTGAATGAAGAGTCTACTATTTATAGGGTCAAGAAATATCAAAAAGATGAAAACAAGATAAAAAAATATCACGTGGAATAAATAAAATAATATTTTTTCAATAAAACATGTGAAACAAAAAGAAATAATATTTTTTTTAATAAAACACGTTAAATAAATGAAATAATTTGGGTCACAAAATCCAATAATTCCACCTTGACACAAATTCCGATGCAATGAATGAAGTTTCAAAATTTTTCCACCTGAAAAAATAAGTTCGACTACAACGACAAATTGAACTCTTCATCCCAAACCAAACTTCTCCAACACACGAAAAAATACTCTTCCTCTTCCACCATATCCAACACGGATAAATGAACCCAACCTCCAGGTTCCCAAAATTCACAAAGAATTTAAAATCTACCAAATAGGGTCGAAGCACACCATGTAACAAGAATCAACACTAAATGCTTTAACTGAAGGCCCCCGGCTAGACTCGTCATCTTCAACAAATCCAAAGCATGCACTTCCAGATCAGCATCCTCGTACCTATCTCCAATGGGTCTCTCCGTAGCTGTTGAATATAATGGAACCACAAATTGTAGTGGCAAAGTGGAATTACCCATATACCCCAAAATTGACAGAGTAGTATTATCCAAAATAGATCTAGAGCCAACTCCCAACGGTACTGTACCAAACTGTATATCCACCAGGTACCAAACCTGTGTTGATGTCTTTTCACTGATTCTGTCCAACCTTGCAAGATGTATAACTGGGACTTTCTCCACACCTCCAATACAACACGGACACCCTTCTGAACCTTCAAGACTCTACCCACTGCAGAGAATGTGTACCCTCTAGAATCCAGGGTACTCAACTAGATAATGTTCTTCTTCAACTCTGGAACATGTCAAACATGGCCAAGTGTTCTGATTGTTCCATCCATCAACTTCAATTTGACTCTCCCAATACCAGCTACCCGACAAGTTTCGTTGTTTTCCATAACAATGACACCTTGTGTCATCGTTTCATATGATTCAGACAAATCCCGATTGGACTCATATGAAAATTACAAGCTGTATCCAAAATTCACTCATCATCATGCTTGGATTCCACTTCAGAAATCGTCAAAACATCTACTACACCCAAATAGTCATCAACTACGTTTGTCTCGTCAGAAATATCTAATTGCCTCCCACGATCTGCAGCTGAATTATTCTTACCCTTCAACTTAATGCAATCCCTCTTGATGTGTCCTTTCTTTTTGCAGTAAAAACAGACCATATTGCTAAAATCCACCATCGACTTGCCCTTTTCTCGGTCACCATAAACCACAAGAGCTTTCTCATCTTTGGAACCAACTCTAACCAAATGCATCATCTTTTCCTTTGAGAACAAGGCATCATACACGTCTTCAATAGTGAGCGATCACGACTGTACAGAATCGTGTCCCTAAATGACGAAAACGAACCAAGCAGCGAGCACAACAGGATTAAGGCCAAGTCCTCTTCATCATATTTTACCTCTAATATCTCCAGAACAGTAACGATCTCCTTAAACACTGCCAAATAATCTTCCAGTGATCGACCTTTTGCCATGCAATGAGAATAAAGCCTCTGTTTCAAATGCAATTTGCTGGTCAGACTTTTAGTCATGCACAATTCTTCCAATTTCAACCTTAATGCAGTTGTTATCTTCTCCTTCAAGACATCATAAAGAATGTTGTTAGATAGATGAAGATGAATCTGCGAACGTGCCTTGCGATCCTTCCATTGCTTCTCCTCTGTTATCCAAGTTGTGGGCATTCTATTAAATCCCAACAAAACATCATCCAAATTCATCTGCACCAATACAGCTCTCATCTTCACTTGCTGCAACGAAAATCTTGTACTGTAATCCAACAATGGATTATCATACTTCAAGGTAGCCATCAATAACAAAAAACTTGAAACAATCAAATCCTTGCTCTGAGGAACTGCTGAACCTTGACTCTGATACCACTTGTTAGGAAATAAAACGGATCGAGATAATATATATGACTCGTTATGAAATATTGATTGCACACAAAAATAAAATTAAAAGACAAGAAGATAAATTGGCACAGGAACCGAATATTTTATTAATGACAACCAATGGAGAGAAAATTCAACTTTCAGCAATTTCTGCAATCTACTAAATTGAATGAAGAGTCTACTATTTATAAATCCTATAAATATCACAAAGATGGAAACAAGATAAAAAAAATCACGTGAAATAAAGGAAATAATATTTTTTCAATCAAACACGTGAAATAAAGGAAATATTTTCTCACCTAATTTGGGTCACAAAATCCAACATGATCAAACATAGGACTCACTCTATCTACGAGTGTCTTACTTGAAGAAGAAGAAGAAGAAGATCGAAAAAAAATGCAGAAAATAATAACCTTCTAAAATGATCGACAATATAATACAAAATGGATCTAATTTACAGTATTACATAAATTTGATGCATGATTTAGCTACACTACGTGATAGTGCTTCAAATGTGCGGACTCCTATCTAATGCATGTTTGAACTTTGAACAATGCAAAAAACCTTAATATTAACAAATATTTTGACCTTTGTTGAAAAAGTAACACAGAGTGATAATTGTTAATTGAAAAATTATAACTATTAGATTGTTATAAAATAAAGAGAAGAAAATAGAGGAGTCGATAGACTCGTATGCATTTTATTAAAAATCGAAACCTCATATTTATATGGAAGAATTATGGATAAAATAGTAATAATAACTAGAACCACAATGGTATAATTATCATTCACTAATAATCATATTATGTATAACATTCTCTCTTGATTGACATATTATAATATATTTGCCTCGTTAAAATCTTGTCAAGAAAATTCAATAAGACAAAATTTGAGCTAAGGAAAAAGAGTACAAATGTTTCTCCTAATTTCAATAAATGAAAATTCTTGTATCGAGTCATTCATATATTGTACGTCAATATCTACAATATTGCAATTCTTGTGAAGCATATTTCGTGTTGCCTTATTATAGCCTTCAAACAATATCATCTTCATAAATGATATTTATCAATATTTGTTTGTCTTTAGTCACATGATGATCTATTGAAAAATAGATTATGTTGTTACTCTTTTCGGGAGTTGTACACAATTTGTAATATATAAGAGTATTATTTTGAAAGTAAATATCTTGTAGGTTATGGACATCATTACACAAAGAATATGTCTCGTTAAAATCTTATTAAGAAAAACACTGTGGGAAAAATCCTAACGAAGAAAAAAGAGATTACATTATTTTTTTGAGTCCGCTATAAAAGTTGTCTTATTAAAAACATTGTCAGAAAAATTCAATGGGATAGAACCTTGGTTAAGGAAAAAAGAGTACAACAGTATGCTTCAAGCATAAAATCCTTTAAGGATAGTATAAAAAACATACAAGGCGAGTTGGTTATAATCACATTTATTACATACATATCAAATTTCAAGCATTAAAACTAACAAGATGAAGACTTGCGATTGTATCCACCACACGATAATTTATCTATTCATACAAGTCTTTGCAAAATTCACTATGCTAAAATGCATATATTTCATATTACGGCTTTATTTTTTCTATTTTCATTTTGCATAAATATACACATTTAGATATTCTATTTTTTCTATTTTCAAATTTTTAGGATTCATTCATTTATTTGGCCAATCCTTTCTTCAATTGGATATACTTCAATAAATTATTTCAATATCCTCACTATTCATAATATGAAATGGTACATTATGTACAAAACTTTTGTCGACAACTTTTTATTTTTGATTCTATTTATTTTTCATATCGACATAATTTATTGAGATATTTTAAGTCCCATTTGATTCGTGAACTGGAGCTTTTACCAATTGTGACAGGTTCAAAATTTCTACAGTAATTTTTTGCCTGTTTGGCACTAACTTCCTCATTTAGTCAACCACCAAAACACTCAAATTTATCTAAGTAATGAAGAACAACGACAGCTTGAAAGTGACGAAAGTGATTAACAAACACAAGCATATACAAGAAACACTCCCAAATTTCATTACTACAATAAAAGAACACTCGAAAAAATTGTTAAGGATTGAAACAAGGAAAAATTACAACCACAGTATCAAACTTTTCACTTTTTTGCAGACTTTGCCTAAACCTTTGATCTGTACCATCGTAGGTACCAAACCTTCAAAAAAAATCGCAGCCTAAGTCTAGATTGACGATTTCCGTCAGTTTGACCCAAAAAACCGGCAGTTGACCTCAAAAATTAAAATTTTAATATTTTTGACCAAAAAAGACAGGGGTAAAATGGTAACTTTATAATTTTAATATAAAAAATAAGATTAATGTCAAATGGCAAGCAAAAAATCAGGTGTGAAATTCAGATAATCAACAATATGAGTAACATTTTACAATCTCAAAGAATTAGGGCATCTCCAAGTAAACGACTACAGAAAATCTATGAAAAGGCAGAAAATTTATGCAAGTTATTCACCTGAAATATTTCCACAAGACTCTTCTGATTGCTACCCAGTCCTAATCCAGGTAAACCAATTAATCCATCAACACCCCCATTCCGTCTCGTTCTCGCTCTCTTGGTTCTTAGAATTGAATCCTGGAGGCATTGAAAACAGGGATCCCCCAGCACCATCAGTATCAATCCTATTCAACTTCCTCCTATCTCCAATCATCGAATTCTCTCCTTGTAACCTCTATGTAAACCGCCAATCCTCCTTGGACAACAAAGGAGGTGGTAACCTTGGGTTCGGATTGACATTCGAGTAATAGTAAGATAATATGCAAGATCAGACCTAAGCTCCTCCTCTAACATGAAACCATTACCACTCTTATTTATTGCATACTTAGCAAAGGCAGAGCTATTGTCACTGTTGCCACCAACAACACCACCATGGTTAAACAACCCACCAACGACGCTCGGTGAACCCTCAACAGTAGGAGGAGCCGACCTACTCCTATACAAATTCAGCTCCTTTTCACGATCAATTGCCTCTCGGGGTCGCTGTTCACATAGTAAAACCCCTATTTTTACCTTAGTTAGCGGAAGGATTGACATGGTCAGTTGGTGCCCGCGATGAGGTAGTGGTGATCGGTCGGCAACTTGTTGGGAGTGTATTTGATTTTTGGGTTAGGGGATTGGGGAAGATTGAAGGAGATGGATTTTATTTTGTTTATTTTGTTTTATTTTTTATAGTAAAATTATAAAGTTACCATTTTATCCCTATCTTATTTGGTCAAAATTATTAAAATTTTAATTTTTGAGGTCAACTGACGATTTTTTGGGTCAAACTGATGGAATATGTCAATCTGGACTTGAACTGCGATTTTTTTGAAGGTTTGGTACCTAGGTAGTACAAATCAAAGGTTTGGGTAAAGTCTACAAAAAAGTGAAAGGTTTGGTACCGCAGCGCAATTTTCCCTTGAAACAATGCGCTCATCACCTTGGGTGTCAAAGCCTTAGATTATATATAATATTCGTGATAACCTCGTGGTTGACACTAGGCCCCTCTACCATATCTGTACAAATGGACCAACTACTAGGTCCAGAATCCCTCCAAGAGAACTGCTTGAAAACTATCCCAATTGGACAAGTAACTGTCTGACCTGTCTAAAACTGCTTGCACATATCAAATTTCTTCCATATAAATACATCAAGTAACCGTCACAGTGAACTGAGTCAGCTAGCTCCAAAACTTGTCCAGTTACTAAATTTTTAGTCTGCCCACCATGATTCCTCTAGGATGCAATGAGCTAAAAGCCAACTTCACTAATAACTTGTCGGGCTCCACTCATACCATGCCTTTGTTCGTGCATTTCTAAACTTATTCAATCCTAAACAATTATTGACATTGTTAGCTTGCATCGAATTTCCTAAAATGCACCCTTCGAAGCAGATCTTGATCATGACATCATCATGGATGACATGCTTGTGAAAAGCATCAAGATTCAGGATCATATCAAGCACCTAGTAGAAACTTTCTAAATTTTGAGATGGTACATGATGAGGTTGAACTACTTTAAGAGCACATTCGACATTACCTCCGAAAATTTTTGAGGCTATATAGTCAACTAGAAAGCCATAGAGGCCAATCCAAAGAGGATTAAGGATTTGGAAGAGATAAGATCACCTCGAAAATCCAAAGAAGTATAAAGTTTCATCAGGCGGGTGGCATCCCTGGACTGTTTATTCTCAAACATCACCGATAAATGCCTTTTCTTCTTTCAAGTACTCAAAGGAGGAAGAGGTTCTAGCACCTTAGCTAAGCCTCCTCATCTTCGAGCCCAAGGTTGACAAAGCTTTTTGTTATATCTACGGTCGGGTGGTCCTAGTAGGTCCAGAATGCCACAAGCTCAACGAAACTATGAGGTTTGGATTTAAAGCCTCTGATAATATGGTAGAGTATAAGTCCTTTTGGCTAAACTCTGGATAGCCTGTGAGATGCAAGAGGAGAAGCTACTTGTAAATATCAAGTCCTAGTTAGTTGTGACTTAAGTCTTGTGGCTTCACCTCAAGGGAAATGCATAGCAACATACCTCAAATAAGTGATGGACTTTCTCCTACTCTTTGAAAAGTTTAAGCTACCATCTTGAAAATGTCTATGTTGATTCACTATACAAATTGGCCAGTATAAACGATTTAGTACTGCTCGAGATAGTGCCCACCGAGTGTTAGATAAATGTTTCAGTACTAGATACCTAATTTACACATTGGATTTCGTATATGCAGTGAATTTAAACACTGTATTTCACATATCTTTTTGCATGTAATTTTGAATATAACAAATTCAATTATATATAACAGATTTAAAGAGAACAACAAAATATCAACATACAAAAACGAATAACAAACAAGGAAAAAAATGAATTAAAAAGTAAAACTTTTAACCTGAGGCATGTGTTACATACAATTTCCTTAAAATAGATTCGCCATCTCACCGTCTGTTCTTGAGTGTTTGTTTCCCAGGATACAACGGTAAACCTATAGAGGCCGAGCACTACAAATTCTACTCCGGCGAATTGACTTAGTATCTAAACAATATCACCACCAAAACCTTGACAGATAGTAAAATATGTGTGCAGACAGAGGACACTTTCGTGTGTTTTGGAACTATAATGCAGACTGTATTCTTCATGTCTGAAATAGTGGAAAATGAGGCTTTATATAGACTTGACTCCATTAAATTGTCCATAACTTAATGGTAATAACCATTGGAGTTTCAGAAACCAAAAGTCATGTCAATAATCATGGGAGTTTCAGAAATCAAAAGTCATGGCAATAACCATTGGAGTTTCAGAAATCAAAAGTCATGACAATAATCATTGGCAGCGGTCCGACATTTGTGTACGCAGGTCGTGCCCGCACACAAGTTTAAGATCCAAAGCCTATTGCAATCCATGATTTACATCCCCGTGCACGCATGTAGAGAGAGAGTCTCTATGCTACACAAGATTACACACTTCCAAAGTGGTTCTTACTTCCATAAACTTCCTATGCGAGATAAACTCAAATTTAGTTTTTCCCTCCAACATAAACCATATTTCAATGGTCCACTTTGAACTCCAATTTCTCATTTACCCGAACTTCATTTTTGGAAAGTAAATACATGATTTGGATGTACTCACGAAGGAGAACGCAAATCAATCTTTATCTTCCAAAATAGCTAAACGGATCCCACTCAAAATTCATGCCAAAGTCAGCCACATACTCATTTTTCCAACAATCCCCCACATGAATGAAAATTGAGAGAGATACAAATGTTAATCAAAAGACCTGGTGATAAAGCTCAACGGTTGAAACTTGCATAGGATAGGTAGGTAGTACCCTTCAAACCTTCCCTTGTGAGAGCATATTTACTTTACTAGTTGACTAGTAGACACGTCCTTGAGCTGTTCTGCCATTTATGTAAATGATGATATACTTCACACAGGATTCTTCTTAATACAATTCAGTTCTCATTATCATGTTCATTTTGGCCATGAACATACGCCTGGTTCAGCGAGAGTTCCTAAGAATTGAGCCCCACACAATTTTCTTAGAAGCGGTCCCCACTTCTCTCTCACATAGGTGATTTCTTATTACAAGTAACCCCACATTACTTGGCTAAATTTTCAACGCATAAGAATTATTAAAAGTCTGTTGCTTATCCTTCATCCTTACGGGTATCACTGTGGCATCATAGGAGTGGACATGAGGTAACATCCCCCACAATGATTTAATTAAGTCTTTACAATTAGGTTGTCCCTTTGAACCTAGATCTTGGAATCTCCAGTCATCTAGGTTGGATTTCCTTTGTATTAACTTATTTGTTCTAGGTCTTAAGTCTCATTCCTTTCGATGTTTTCTTAACTAACTCTCTATTTAACCATTTGGTTAGCGGATCCGCAATGTTATCCTTTGACCTCACATAGTCAATAGTGATAACTCCAGTTGAGAGTAATTGCCTTATGCTATTGTGTCTTTGATGTATATGTGTAGACTTACCATTATACATGTTACTATGTGCCCTTCCAATTGCTGATTGACTATCACAATATATACAAATTGTTGGCACATGTTTTGATCATCTTGGAATATCCTCTAAGAAGTTGCGCAACCACTCTGCTTCTTCACTACATTTATCTAGAGATATAAACTCAGATTTCATGGTAGATCTAGCTATCACTATTTGTTTAGAGAATTTTCAGGATATAGCTGCACCTGTCAATGCGAACACAAATCCACTCGTGTTTGGAATATCTTCTAAGAAGTTGTGTAACCACCCTGCTTCTTCACCACATTTATCTAAAGTTATAAACTCAGATTCCATGGTAGATCTGGCTAGCACTGGTTGTTTAGAGGATTTCTAGAATATAGCTGCAACTGCCAATGTAAACACAAATCCACTTGTAGACTTTGAGTCTTTCACATCAGATATCCAATTAGCATCACTATATCCTTCAATAACTGCTAGATATCTGGTATAGTATAGTCCAAAATTAAGAGTATATCTCAAGTACTTTAGTAATCTTACTATTCTTTTCCAATGATCATATCCTGGATTACTCGTATATCTATGACTGTGTAGGCTATGTCTAGTTTTGTACAACTCATCAAGTACATCAGACTTTCAATAATTTTCGAGTATTCTACTTGAGAAATACTTTTACATTTATTCTTGGATAGATGTTCACTTATATCTATCGGTGTTCTAGCCATGCCAGTATTATCTTTACTGAACTTTTCTAGAATTTTGTCCACATAATGTGACTGGTTTAGAACGAGTCCATCTAATGTTCTTGAAATTTTGATTCCAAGTATAATATCAGCTAAACACATATCTTTCATTGTCAAATCTCGAATTTAACATGTTTTTAGTGAATTTGATCATCTTATCGTTGCTACCAACAATAAGCATATCGTCAATGAAAAGACATAAAATGACAAATCATTTTCAGAGTCTTTGTCATAGAAACATTTGTCACACTCGTTGATTTTAAATCCAATTTCCATCATGACATTATCAAATTTTTCATGTCATTGTTTGGGTGCTTGTTTCAAGCAATATAATAACTTCACCAGTTTGCAGACTTTCTTTTCCTGTCCTGAAGATGAAAACCCATCGGGTTGTTTCATATAAATTTCTTCCTCTAAATCTCCATTCAGAAAAGTAGTTTTAACATCCGTTTGATGTACTTCAAGATTTCGTGAAAACAGTCTTAACATCCATTTGATGTACTTCAAGATTTCGCAAAGCAGCAATCGCAAGTATCATCCTAATAGATGTTATTCTCGTTACTGGAGAATATGTATCAAAGTAATCAAGGCCTTCTCGTTGTCTGTAACCTTTTATTACTAATCTGGCCTTATACTTTTCAGTAGATTCATCTGCGTTCATTTTCTTTTTGAAAATCCATTTGTAGCCCAGTGGCTTACTTATTGGAGGAAGATCCACTAGCTCCCATGTATAATTTTATAAAATGGAATCTATTCTACTTTTAATGGTTTCTTTCCATTGAGATCCTTCTGAAGAGTTCACAGTTTCTTGATTGCTTTAAGGTTCACTTTCTAGTATATAG